TATAGATATATTTCAGTTAGATAATCTTCAACACTTCAAAGACCTTCAAAATATGTCATTTAAAGAACTTAGACTTTTCTCGACAGTGAGTTATTTCTGTTATATGTTAAAGTGGAATCTGGGTCAGTCTCTCCTTCATTATCAGAAGGAAGTTGAACTTCTTTAAACTATTCCTTGTCTTTCCAAAGCACAAACCATGAATATGTAGTACAAAATGATCACAAAGTTACTTCATCTTGTACCCAACACCAGGTAAGGAGTCTGACCAGGCAGCTCCTATTACTTGTCTTGCTTTCCTAGTTTCCTTCTTCCCCCAAACAGCTGCTAACTCCAAGTCTAGCCCTTTGGCTCAGAAATTATAAAAATGGTCTTAGTGAGTTTATTAAGATATATATAAAATATAAAATTCTCCACCTTAAACGCTCATTTCAATGGTTTTTAGCCCATCTACTATTGAACAACCACCATTATATAATCATAGAATGCTCCCATCTCCCTTCTGAGCCCCTGGAAACTGGCCTTTATTAGCAAGCGGCCATCATTACTGGGCACTCTTCTGGGTGTTTGCCCAACCTGAGGCTGGTGTGCTCCAAGTGCTGTCAGCAGCCAACCTGTTTCAAAGGAAGCCTGCGGAGCTCAGTGAAGGCTTTCCTAACTGTACTCCCAAATGCAATGGTTTTATTTTGTTATCAGTTTGTTTGGATGCTCTTTTATTAAACACTAGTATGAGCTATGGAGAGAACAAACTACTTCTGTGAGGCTAGGGATGTGGCTCAGCTGGTAGAGCGCCTATCTGGCACGTATGCAGCTCTGGCTTCCATTTCCAGGACAGCACAAAGTGGACGTAGTGGTGCACACCTACACTGCCCGCACATGCAAGGTGGAGACACCCTTACCCCTTCATCAAATGTGAAGAGCCTAGGATACCCACAATGCTGCCTTAAGAACAAACAGAAACAACCCCCCCAGAGTAAACTGTATGTATTTCCTCCCCAGAATAAGAAAGGTTATGGGCCCTGAGCAGCTGTAAAAGCAGGTAACCCTGCAGCACAGTCAGGCTAAGCCACTGCAGAAATCCTAGCTGCCCAGGAGGTTCCAGCTCAAGAGTCAGGCTCTGGGTCTAGGTTCTGAAGCTGGAGAGATGCCCCACCAGATCCTTACTCTCCTGAAACACATTAGGAAATCTGTGGTTATTTTACTCGAGCAAGAGATAAAGGGAAAATGCATTATATCTCCAATGTCCCTTTTCCCCCAATGAAGACAAGATCTTTCCATGTATCCCACGTGATCCTCCTGCCTCAGTCTTCCTAGGGCTGGAATTGTACTATTACACCTAGTTTGTCTTAGGTCTAATTTGACATTTATTCCATAGTGGAAACATATTGGGAAATAGCTTTTCCCCACTTCCTGCTCAAGAGGTCAGCACAGGAAACATTTCTACCCAAACCACACTGCTCAATACTGCTAATAGGTCAGGAACGTCTAAGCTTTCTTTAATTCATGCACCATGTATAAAGAATTTTCTTCAGAATACCAGATATAAACACATTGGAAATTTTTCTAATGCGATTACCAAGATGGAAAAAAAAAAACAGAAAAGGCAAACAAACGTCAGAATAGTCTGAAATAGACTGAAAGATGTGTTGCGGTCAAATAGGCACAACTTCACATTGACACACACAGACGTGGACGTCAGAGCTGGCACTCCGCTCTTAGGAAATATTCCTGCTATTTGCTACTGTGGGTGACAGCCAAGGGTAAGGTTTAGCTCTTTACACAGTACGGATGTCCTTAGCTCACAATGAGTTATATCTCGATAAACTATGGCAACTGGGAGCTTTGTGTGCATTTAAACACCTAACCTGCTTACCATCATAACTGAGCTCTCCTAACCATGCTCAGAAGGCAAAACCATCTAACACAAAAGACCATTTTATAGTAAAGGATACATCATGCAATTATCAAATGCCTGCTGGAGGGGCAGACACGGCTCTGCAGTCTCCAAATCTCACAGCATTAAGCTCACTCACATTTTCAAGTCTAGCTTTATTTAAGGGGGGGAAAAAAAGCTCTATTTTTTACCCCTTTAAATGAGCTTTACTATAACTAAATCAGCATTAGAGCTGGAGGTCATAGTAAGGGTGATGCAGTCAACTGTCACCTAAGAGTAGTTTGGGGGAACTCGATTCACTTTCCCAAGCCAAGGCTTGCTAATGGCAGAGGAAGGCCTCCCAAGCAGAAAACAAAGAACTGCCCACAGAACCCGGGTTAGTGAAGGCCCTGAAGACTGGTGCTACCCTCCTCTGAAACAATCTCCTTTAGTTCTGGGGGTTTTAAACATGAGGACAAATTTGGGGATCACGGGAGAGGAAGTCTGCCACCTACAGGTCAGAGGAAAGAAGGCCTCATTAGGTCCTTTTAGAACTAAGTACTGACAAGTACAAGTGCTTCAGGAGGGGAACCCGGGGCAACACAGGAAGAGGCTTTGGAAAAGGATGCTGCCTTCACATTTCTGCTGTGTTAACTTTTTTATTACAACGCTGCACTGTGTTTTGTGCGGCAATGCATTCGTGGTGGCCATAAACAGATAAATGAATAAATGAATAGCTGAACACTATGACTCCCCGGGGAAAAAGAACAGAAATGGTGATGTGGGCTCTCTTCCACACCCCAGCATTTCCTTCTCATTGCTACGAATTATCTGAAGGAGCAACAACAACCTAATATTGTGGATAAATACTAAAAAAGGTTTAGGTTCTTAATTCATATAGTCTACCAAGATAAAGTCTAGATGAATTATGTATGTACAAGCTTGGGAGAATTAACAACCTTTAGGAGACTGCAACAAAGTCTTAAAGTTGCAAAGATCTCTCTACATCTTCTGTTGTGGGTATCTGTATACCATGTGAAGATGTATTTGCTATGATTGGTGTGACAAAAGACTGAACAGCCAATACTAGGCAAGAGGTATAGGTGCGATTTCTAGAGAGAGAAAGGAAGAGGAGGAATCTAGGCTCACAGGAGAAGGCAGGGGACACAGAGAGGAAACAGAAGGTGCAAGATGGAAGAGAGGTAATGCTACATGATAGAACACAGATTAATAAAAATGGGTTAATTTTAAGTTATAAGAGCTAGTTAGGAACAAGCCTAAGCTATAGGCCGAGCTTTTATAATAAGTCCCCATGTCATTATTTGGGAGCAGGCTGGTGGGACAGAAAAAGACTTGTTACAGTCTTCCAAACCAAGACTGACTGAACAGAGAAGAACTCACATAAACAGGTAGTGGTGAGTCACTGTGCGGGAGTGATGATGGCACCACTGAACTCTTAAGAATATTAGGTAAACGCTAAATAGATTAATCCACAGAAGTAGACAATTTGTAATATGTACAGCTGATGCACAATTAATAAAAACTCAGGGTCAGAAATTGGGGTTCAACCTGAAGATCCAAAAAGCAAAACAGCCAGTTACTGGCTCTTACCTTGACCTCAATCTGAAATGGTGACCCTGCCTCCTAGAATCTCAGAATGAGACTGTGAGAGCTGTCTCTCCCATCTCTCACCCTCACCCCCATTTATTCTTCTTCTCTAGGGCTGGGATTAAAGGCGTGCACCCTGGAATTAAAGGCATGTACCACCCTACGGCAACTAGGGTGGCTATTGGGATTAAGGGTGTGTGTTAGCATAACCTGGTCTGTAAGGCTGACCAGTGGGACTGTTGTACTCTCAGATCTTCAGGCAGTCTTTATTTATTAAAATACAGTTGAAATGTCACTATATACAGTGATGCCACTTTGGGGTCAAAATGTATTTACAGACATATAAATTTAAGAAGCCTTAGAAAACCATCCCCTAAATGTTAATAGTGATTATACTGGTTGTGGGGATTGAAGATGAAAGACAAAAAAGACCAAGACAGTCCTCTAAAGATGTGCTTAAAGAATAATGGAAAGAAGGAAGGCATGGTGGAAATATCTGGGATTGTCTGGAACATGTGGCCCTTTTGGAGAAGGTGTGTTACACTGGGTGAGGTCTCTGCACTCTCCCCTCAACTCCCCACCTCCTACTAGGGGACCAAGATGTAGGCTCACAGATGATGTCACTGCACTCTCCCCTCAACTCCCCACCTCCTACTAGGGGACCAAGATGTGAGCTCACAGATGCCACTGCCACCATGCTTTTGCTCTGTCGTCATGAGCTCTGACTCTCTGAACCATAAAGCCAAATTAAAGTCTTTTTTAAGTTGCCCTGGTTTGTCTTATTACAGCAATAGAAAAGTAACTGAGACAGCATCTCCATACTTACTATAGATGTAAATAATATAAAGATATCTCTGTGCTTACTATAGATGCAAAGAATATAAAAGCTTGACCAATCTTTATCTAGTCCATGTTCATGGCTGGTTTGCCTTAAGCCCTGTTGAAGGATGTAATCACTCCTGTTGGACAAATAAGTGGACTTATTTCTGCTTTGGCAGTAAATATTACAAGTTCAGCATTTGTCTTACAAGAGAACACCCTTTGTTTCAGGTCCTGTCACTGGCCCTCTGTGATGCTCTTGTGGGACAGAAAAGCCAACACAATACTTTGAATGTAGATTCTGCTGTGAATGGCAAAAGCGCTCTGCTGCTAATCCAGGGGTATCCTATAGCACCTGTGAAATAAGAACAGGCTAATTTGTTAGCTTATAAATAGGGCAAAATTCAGAACTGTAGCTATTGATAGACATCAACTCATTCTTGACAATTGCTAATAATTTAGACACTATGATCTAACTATAAATATTTATTACAACTGGAGAAACGGCTAAAAGGTTAAGAGGGCTTGCTGCTCTTGCACAGTTGGGTTCTCAGCACCAACACTGGTCAGCTTATAAACCTAAAACTGTGGTTCCAGGGGATCCGGTGCCCTCTTCTGCCCTCCTTGGACATGCATGCACACTCCCACACACTTTAAAATTTATTAATACGATATTGCTTATTTCCTAAAGATTTAGCTGACCCTACAAAAATAAAACTCCATCTAATTCCTGTGAGTTTATCTGTGTGTGTTCAAGTCCAGTAATTATTTCACTGTCTGTCTGAAGCACTAAGAGCACTAAGTCCAATGCTCGGCGCCATGCTTCGGTCTTTGGGGTAACAGTATCATAAACTCTCGGAACTAGCTCCAGGTTATCTGAAATACCTGAATGAAAAAGTTCACTACTTAGTTTACTGTATTTACTCAAGATGTAAGATGAAGGGGAGCCAGAGCTGGTGGCCTTTTGTACATGATGTTGAATGCACGTGCTGGCTTCCACGGCTGATGGGTGAGTGGCGGTGTTACACATGACAGCTGACAGGTATTCACGCCACCCGCTTGCCATGCACTTCAGCACAGTAGGTCTATAGACGGACAGAGACGAGGCCATCCAAGAGGAAGAATCAGGAAGCCATCCTGAACAAGCATTATTTTCTTTATTTAAAGGTTGTTCAGCAAGAATCTGAAGATGACTAAGACATAAAAATTCAACAGCACCACCACCAAGGAAGACCTTCTCCTCTTTTAGGGCATGATACAAACGATATACACAAGACCAAAACCTGTCTTCCTTGGCTTCCATCTGAGCACTTACTGGGCTGGTGAGTACGGCTGTAATCAAATTAATTCTTTCTGTTTTTAACAAGACTGCCATTCTGTTGCGCCCGCTCACATCATGAGGACTTGTCCAGGAGGTCACGGAGACCTCAGAGCCCACACAGTCTTCGTTCACTTGTGTAACATAGGCTACTGGTGCTGCTCCTGTAGCCTCTGCAAACGCTCGCAACGCACTGCCATTCACCGACCCAATCACCAGCCGCTTACTGTGCGTACATTTTTCAGTGAGGTGTTCAGATACATTTCCTTGTACCAGGACGAGGTTCACATTGAACTGGGTTAACACCTGCAACACACTTTTTGCCCACAGTTCTTCTGCACTATCTTCTGGAAGCTTTCCACTATCTAACTTAGTCTTAATATTTACAGACTTATTAAATCCCAGGTGGCGGTAACTCTCTGTGAGGTCACCCTCGATGAGAATCACCCGGAAAGGTTGATCCTGCAATTCCTTTATCAGAGCAAGACTAGACATGGGTACGGCAGTGACATATCCTAAACAAACACAAGAACAAGTTTCAGGTAAGCCCGGGAGACAGCAAGTGAGGAGTCTTGAAACATCAAACACAAATGGTGCCTCACAGTTGTCTCGCTGCAGATGCACACTCTGCCACTGCAGCCTCACAGCTGCTTCTGCCAATGCCATGCTGCTGTGGTCTCCATGGCTTAAGCCGACTGCTAACTCTACCAATGCATTACATGAAGAAGTTCTGGGAGTTGATGACCCACACTGTTCTAGAAATCCATCAGGTCTGCTTATCCCGTGGCTATTATCTGTCCTAGTAAAATGCCTACTGTGAGTTAATGCTGACTTTCTGCAGAAGGAATCTGCATGCAGGCTGTTTCGCAGAGTCTGTGGTATGTTTTCTTCTGTTTCAACCTTAGCCTGAGTTTTGAAGAATTTGGGTGATGTAGCATGGCTCCCAGAAAGACTGTAAGAGGACAGTAACCGAGATGTAGCATCTTTGAAATGATGTTTTTCCTTTAACAACCCAGGACCTGAAGGACGCAAGTTGACATCAACTGTTTCAAGTTTGTAAACTATCCTTGAGTTGTCCATGTGGTCAAATACATGGCATATGGGTACTTGAAGGGAAACTACTGTTTCAATACAAGAGTTCAAGCCCTCAGACATTACTGACACTATTATTGTAGTGGGAACACCCAGATGGAGACATTCTTCAACAGCTCTGCTCCATGCACCAACAAGAAACAAGAGAGTGCTGGTTCCAATTCTATGTGCACCATGCTGTGCTTGAACTGCTTCGTTGAGAAGCTGCCCCACTGCACAGGTTAAATCCAAACCTTCAAGAAGTCTGACTGTTGAGCTGATTAACACACTCTCATGACACTCTGCATCTGTAATAAACTTGGTGGCTTTTACTGGGCCTAGGAAACTTCTTCCTGTTTGTGCGAATGATGAAAGCTGTTGAAGTCCCACGTGCCTTCTTTTGTTTATGACGCTGCAAGCCATCACCACGAGCAATTATCTGCAAATAAACCAACACTTGAAACTTTGCTGGGTGACTGATGACAAGGGCTCTATAAAGAGAAGAAAACACAGCTCACACTTTTGGACAGAGTTTCAATTACTGTGATCAGCGTGATGATGCAGAAGAGTAAATCAAGGGTGTGGGACAGGGTGGTGGCTGACCACTCCACATGGCAGAGGAAATAGAGAGGAGTACAGACAATAAGCAAGGCTTCCAGAAGGGCATGGGGACTGGGCAGTAGAGAGAGGACTGACCACTCCACATGACAGAGGAAATGGAGAGGAATACAGGCAACAAGCAGGGTTTCCAGAAGGCAATCTGCAGAATGAGACTTAAAACATTTGTGCTACGATTCTTTTGAGACAGGGTTTTACTATATAAGATGGTCTTAAATTTGTGATCGCCCTTTCTCCACCTTGAAAGTGCTAGAATTACAGGCGTGTTCCATCATGTCATCTGTGGGATAACTGTGCAAACTGAGCAAGGGGGTGGTTGTGAATGTACAACTATGTTAAAAAAGAAAGGAAGGAAGGAAGGAAGGAAGGAAGGAAGGAAAAGCACTGTGTACCAGGAGTCTGGTATTATGAGAATATGGCACACACGGCAAGGAGTTGAAGAACCTAAGGCTCCAGTAGAGGAGGAATTGGGTTATGAGGATATTTCATGTTATGTTAAGAAATAAGCTTTATCCTATAATGGAAACCACTTGTGTTAAGAATAAGAAATCACTTGATGTAGTGTTTGAAAGCTTCTTAAACCTGAGCCCGGGCTTGAATTTTGCTCTACTGCTAACAGGCAGCTAGCCCTTCAGTTTACACATCTGGAAAAAGAGACTAATCACAGAAGCTACTTCACAGCTAGCATGAGGAGACAGTGCTCAGGACAGTGGAGAGCACAGTTTTATGTACGTTCAGTTATACTGCCATCCTTTTAAGTTTGACTGACTAACCAAGTACCAGACTCAAAATAAAACAGCCACTTAATCTTCTAAAATTATGAAGCCAGATAATGGGGAGAAAGATTTGGGAATTGATTACATTACGAAGGAAAAAGCATACTATTTAAAGGAGATCCAAAGGCAACTGGAATTATTCAAGATAATATTTTAGAAGTCACCTCCAAAATGAATATCAAGAGACCAAGAGAAAGATTATTAAGTCAATACTAAAAAGTTTTTAAACAATGGTGCTTTCTCATTTTTTTTTTAATTTGTTTTTCTTTTGGTTTTTTGAGACCAGATTTCTCAGTGTAGTTCTGGCTGTTTCGGAACTCATTCTGAAGGCCAGGTTGGCCTCGAACTTATAGAGATCCGCCCGCCTCTGCCTCCTGAGTGCTGGGATTAAAGCTAGGATTAAAGGTGTGTACCCAGCTAACAATGGTACTTTATAACTGAGAAACCATCTATAATAAAACTACTACTACCCGAGGAGGTGTGACCTCCACTAGATAAGGAACTGAAGCTAGATGATACCATAAGGCTTTCACGATTCTTTGAATATTTTTAATCAGAATCTTGTTCTAATACAGATCGTAACTCTGGTAAATTTGTTTCTGAACTAGCGACACTCATCTGTGGAAGGGAGAGCGCTACAGTCCACACATCTTTTAGGCTTGAGCACAGGTTTTATTCCTCCAGAACAGCTTCTTACAGGCTTTCAAGGACTAACAAAGGTAGAAAGGATGGGCAGGCCCAGCAATAACTACAGCATTATATGAACTCACTCCCAAGTCCTTTTTTTTTTCAATGAAATTTTCTGTGTTACATAACAAACACTTACAATACACTCACACATATTCCTTGATAATATCAAAACATTATATTAAAATATACCCTCAGATTTAATTTGAGCAATCCTTAGATTCATCATATCTACCTGGCCTTACTTTTTCTGTCCTTCACCTCCTTCCCCTGTATTATCATCTCCCTACTAAACTCTCAAGTCAATGATTTCAATCACTCTATCCATCATATCCTCCAATCCTCTGACTCTCTCTGACTTCATCTTACTCACCTTGAAAGGCTACTGATCTTGATAAAATGAAGTGACCTTAATTTAAAGAATACAATTTAGATTTAGCATATCCACAATGTTATATAACTGCCACCTCTATCTTGTTCCTAAAGATTTAATAGTCACAAAAGAAAGTCTGAAAACTGCTCAGCAGTAACTCTGTTTCTTTCTGTAACCGGTAATTGCTAATTTGCTTGCAGTCTGTTTTGACCTATTCTTGGTATTTTATATAAAAGGAATCATGGAATATGTGACCTTTCCACATTTTATTTAGCATATTTTTGGGGTTCTTCCACATTTATTACTCAACAATAATCCACTTAGTAGGAACCACATTTTATACGCCTATTTCCCCACTGCTACACATTTGGGCTGTTTCCACCTTTTAGCTACTGAGCTTGTGTTTGACTGCTGTGAAGATTCTGTACAAGCACATTTTTGAACCTGTTTCTAGATCTTTTAGCTACAAATCTAGAAATGAAATTCCTGGGTCATTTGGTAACTCTATGTTTAGCTTAGGGAACTGCCCAGATGTTTTCCCAAACAGTAGAGCATTGCCAGTAGCAATGGACAAAGGTTTTGATTTCTTCACATTCTTACTGTGTTAGTTTTCCCGGGCTGCTACTCCAGATTACAGGAGGCTACAACACACAGTCATACTCGCGAGATGACGGTGCTGCAGGGCAGTGCTTTCCCTCAGGACCCTAGGGAAGGATACATTTTTTTCTCTTCCAACTTCTACTTGCTCCTGGCATTCCTTGGCTTTTAGTTGCATAACTTTAATATCTGACTGCTTCGATTGTCCTTTTTGTTAATTAAAACACCAGTTACTGCACTTACAGACTACCCTGACCCAGTATGACTTCATCTCAACTAATTGCCTCTACGAAGACTACTTTCAAACAAAACCACATTCTGGGTGGGTATGAATTTTGTGTGTTCGTGTGTGACAGACAGCACTGTTCAGTCACTAGTACATTCAACAACTTTGCTTTTGTCAGATTTTAAACACACTAGCAGATGTGAAAAGACAGTTCATTGTGGTTTTGACTTCCATTTTCCTAATGACTAATGATATTAAACATCTTTTTATGGGCCTAGGATATGTGTCTATCTTCTTTAGAGAAATACCCACTGAAGTTTTCTGCCTATTTTAAGAGCGGGCTATTAAAAGGTTTCTGTTATTGAGTTGGAAGCACTCTTTACACGTCAGACAGCAAACCCTTATGAAACAACAGCTAACCTCACACTCGTGGATCCAAACAACCACTCATAAGACAATGTTTGAAAAAACACAAAAATAAACTCTGCATCTGTTTTGAACATGTAACTTATATTCTGTCATCATTCCTTAAGCAATGAATTATAACAACTATGAAACTAGTGTTTATATTTTCTTAGTTTATTATTATATTAATTTTAAGGATATACCTAAGTATGTGTATAAGCTAGACTTAAGTACTCTACCATTTTATATAAAGCACTTAAGTATGTGTGGACTTTAGCTTCTATGGTGGCGTCTTAGAATCGTTCCCCTATGGATGGATGTTGAGGGGCTACCCTATCTGATTTGCATACAATCTAGTGTTTTATAGGACGTCTCTGCTGTTTGATAATGTTCTTTCACTCAGAAAAACCGTAACTTTTGGTTAAGTTCTGAAGCCAAGAAATTTCTGTTTTAAATACTGTTCTTTTAGTGGCGGTAAAATTTAATACTTATTTGTGGATGCTGTGGCTCATGTTCTTGGTGGTATATGAAGAATCCATTGCCATATCCAAGGTGATACATACTTAACCCAGTATTTTCTTCAGAATTCTATCCTTATTTAGCTTACTGATTGATTTGAGACTAACTTTTGTATATGGTGTGAGGCGGGGGTTCTTGTGCATGTGACTCTCCAGGTGTCTCAGTACCTCCTGTTAAATGAACTATTTTTTCTCCTGTATGTTCTTAGTACCCTTATCAAAAATGAACATGCTACTTGCTATACACACATGGGTTTACTTCTGGGCTGTCAATGCAATTGCACTGGAGGATGTAATCATTTTATGCCAACACCATATTGTTGCAAAAGCTGTAACTTTCAGTTAAGTTCTGGAGCCAGGAAATTTCTCTTTTAAATACTGTTCTTTTCTTTACATTTATATTTATAATTTGCCATAATCTGATTTTTGGAGGCAGTGATCTATTTCTCCCTTCATGAATATCCAGTCAATGGAGAAAAATTTGTTTGAAAGGACAAGTTTAAAAGTCTGGCTGTTTTTCACTGCTAACAAAATTTGAGTTTACCTTGTATAAGATGCTTGAAACATATCATAAATGAAATCACAACAAAAATATAAAGTTGATACTAAAATAATTAACCTATTTGTGGAAAATGAAGCATGATATTGAGAAACATGGGCAAAATCTCCTCACATTAAGGGTATCCCCGTGTAACCACGGCCCAAGTTTACACTGTCAATTCTTGTATCAGCTACAATTTGCTTCACTTCCACCCCAGCTCCTTCTCTCTTCTTTGGACTCTTCGTTTCCCTCTTTCAAACCCTCTGACTACTTCGAAGTCCTGTAGAGACCCTTGCCTTGCCAGGGTCTATGTCTTTTACGGGGGTGGGGGCCGTGATAGGAGTTCTGCTTATGGTCTATTTCTAGATCATAATTAAGGACACCACTCTGTGAGTGGAAAACTACCTGGAACAAGAGGAAAAACCCATAGGTATTTCAACCTCAGTCTGTATGGAATTATGTTACAAAAGGTTTGTCCATACACAGGATAAATTTCAAGCATCTGCAAAGAAAAGTCATATATAACAAATATCGACGTTAATACTCAAAAGAGATCTTCTAGCATTTGAATCTATTTCCAGTTTGAGCAATAACTGAAAAATTGTCTTAGCAGTCCTAACTTTGGGAGAAGTCCTAAATGGTTCTGAAGAGGTTGCAATGGGCTAATCACTAATACAAACTCAAAATAAGGCTGGGAATAAAAAGGCAGTAACAGTGAAGAGGATGGGAAGATGGGTGATTTCAGAAGTGATCAAATACCTCTGGGAACTGTTCTGGGCACTGCACCAACACAACCCGACTGTCGTCCTGCGGTACCCCGCACTGACGCCCTCCACAAACAGGTCAATGTCGGAATACTGTTTCCTCAACTTATTATCTGCAATGAGAGGGAGAATCAGATTATTTAACTGGGAGGTTGACTTCAGAAATCTTCTTTCCAAAGACCGTACCTTGCCTTGGCTAAATATTCAGGTTAGAACACTTAAGACATGCCTTTCAGGGGTTATACTTTATTTCTTGATGGGTATAACTAGAATTTTCATCATGAGAACCAAGTTTATTCACCTCCAGTCTACAGCTAACACGATAGTCTAACCACAACATCCCCTGCTTGGAAGCAGTCAGAATAGTCTTTAGTCCTTTGTCCAGCATGGGCACTCCCATGAAAGGGAGTCACACCCCTTCTACGCTAGAATCTGAGTCTCCCTAACTCACCCCAAGTAAAGGCCATGTCCTCATAGCACTAAAACCCACGCTTCCTCCTCTCCGACTCATCTGTTCTGCCCTGCTCAGGCCTCCTGTGTGCTTTTAGAATATGTAAGGCATGCTTCCTGCCTCAGTATTTCTACATGTCTGTCCTTTGCAATGCTCCTCTCCAGGAAATCGTCTGCCTTAACTATCTTGAAATGCTTCCCCAAATTTCCTTTTCAGGGACATCTACCCTGGTCAACCTATTACAAACCACAAACCTTTTCCCTTCCATATGCCAGATACTGTTTATCTGCTCCAAGGAGATAAACTTTCTTCTTCTCCTCTGAAACTTTACAAAATGAGCATTGTACATCTATGACGCACAGGCCAGCGTTTTCTGTTGACACGATTTTCCAGATGACAATTCCAGTCACTGAGAATGGTATCTAGAACACTGCTGACAACTTAGCATCGGCATTCAGCAAACATTTGACAAGTGCCAGCTCATCCCAAAGTTGAGTATAAATATTAAAGGAGCAAACGGATGTTACTGCTAGTGTTCCTCTTTCAAGTACCTTTGGACCTCTTAGTTGGGGCCCTTTGATTGCTTTTAAAGTGGGCTCCTCCTTCAAATGATAATTAGAAATGTGTCTGAGAAAAACACAAAACATAACTAAATGATCAACTGCCCCAAATCAAACATCTACTTTTTACTAAGTTTCTTCCAAGCTCACCAGAAGCCGTCATGGCGCATGACAGGTAGAGTGCACTGGGTAAATTCGGTAGTTTAATAATGTGTATGGCTTTACTATCTTGCTTAGCAATTAAAAGTTTTATGTACAGAAGAGTAATGGTCATTTTTCAAGACTGGGGTATCCTAATCAAGGTCTAGAAATCAGAATCTGAACTTAGCATTACTTTTTTTTTTTTTTTAGCTGGGTGTACTGGCAGGTGGATCTCTATGAGTCTGAGTCTACTTAGTGAGTTCCGGGACAACCAGAGCTTCATAGTGAGACCCAGTCTCGAAAAAATAATAATGAAATTTAAAACTAGAATATCCAAATTCCTAAAGAAAAATGATGTAAAATTGGTTTAACTGTAGCAGTCATATATATGTATATATTATTTATATATGAGTAATACATACACACGTACATATATTAGACACATACATATATAATATTCGTTTCTGGGTTTCAGAAGTTTCTTTAGTGTTAAATATGACTTTGAAAACTGGCCAACTTTCCAGATGAGATACAAATAGATTATGGCTAAATGCTTTAACACTACTACTTCATTCACAAAATATTTTGAATTTGTATCATCTGAATTCACACTGGGAGACGGGAAAAATGGCTTCTAATATCAGGATAAACTTACCTATTCCCCAGGAGCCTAAGGAGAGATTTAAGAACTACAAACTGCAAGGTGAGACGACAGAGGCTTTGGGAAATGTGCCTGCTTTACTCAGTACGCTAGGAAGCGACTGCTTTGCATTCTCCCGCCGAGGAGAAAGCCTGGCTCCAGCCACCCTCGGTCCCCGGGGACCCCGCGAGGACCCCGCGCGCGGCGAGCACCACTCCCCGCCCCCGTCTGCGAGCGCCAAGCAGCACCTCGGGCTTCGCGCCGCCGCGTGCCCTCGAGCGGCTCTGAGGCGGGAAGGCCGCAGGACGGTTGCTCCAGTGTGCGGAGGGTCTGAGGGCACGCGAGCCAGGGCTCTCGCTCCCACCCTCCCTGCCCTTCCGGCCCGAGGGGACCACGACCCTCCTCACCGCGCGCCGCTCCACACAGCGCCGGAACTCAGCCAGTCCAGCGGCAGTTTGCGAGCAAAGCACTCCTTCCTTTCCATTGGGCGCAATGCCCGTCAATCACGGGAGCGAGTGGGAGGGCCTGCGCACCCTGAGCGCCCTTAGCAACGGCCCGCCCCCAGCGCCTGCCAGGAAGGGGAGGGTGGTTGTTGGGCTGCGCGGGCTGAGGCTGGGCAGCGGGTTGGGGTCATGGTGAGTTTTGTGGGACTCGGGTGATCTTCTCAGTTTTCTGACTTTCGTGCCAGGATCCTTGGATGCCCTTAGTGACTAGGCCAGGGGACAGAGATGGGTCTTCCTTTCCGTTTATCCTCCAACGCCAGCAGTCTATGAGGAATGGTCCACGTAAAGATATACCGCCCCGGAGACGGTGCCCAAACTGAGGAGCAAGACGTGGGCCACCGACAAACAGCGGCCATCAACTCAGCCGCAGACGGGAAGGGGTCACTGACTCAGTCCTGATGGTCAGGGGTCCACCAACTCAGGCGACTCACAGACAAGGGACCACTGACTTCTTCCTGAGAAAAGGCAGACTCAGATGGCTGCCCTAGGATCTAAGAAGACTACTCATCAAAATTAGCAGCTCTAGAACCAAGAATCCACAGCACATAACTAATATAAAGCAGGCCGCTTAGATCCACAGCCACCTCCAGGACCTTCTCACTTCCACCTGCTGAGAGAAGAATCTATAGTGGTTCTGTGTCCCAGCTTGGTGACAGAAAGAAGCAAACAGAAAGATCTTCCACATCCTAAGCCAAACATTCTCATCCAGATCTGTGGAGTAGCTGTTCACCAAAACCATGGTTTTTCACTTTTGGGCTTCGGTAGCGTAGGACCCTTGCTAGCGGAGGGAGAGTGCGGGATGATAATTGTGTTCTCTTAAGCATTCCTCCTGCAAACACTGGGATACGTATGTGACCACACATTCCTCAAGTTAATACTTTCCCGATAAACTGAGACAAACTGCTTTGTGAGACAACGCCACACAGTTCTATGCTATCTTCCTTAGCTGCTTCTCCCTTCAGAGGTTGTGGTTTTATGAGGAAAATCTAAATGAAAAAAATAACACGACACTTTCAATCAAGAGAGTCATAACCCTACTCAGGGGGCTTAGGCAGGAGAATTGAGAGGTCCAAGCCAGTCTGGGGCTCCATAGGAAAACCTTGTCTCAAAAGACAAAAAAAAAAAAAAAAAAAAAAAAAAAAAAAAGAAAGAAAGAAAGAAAAAAATTAGTAACCAAAAGCAACAAGGAGGGGGTGGGGAGCACTCTCATTCTATAGAAGGAAATGGGATACTTGAATGTGCACATTCTAGTAATATAGTTTTCACCCACTTGTATACTTATTGCAGGCATCCAGCTATCGAACAACTTTAGACCAATGGAAGAAAAAAGCAGCAAAAGTAGAATTGAATGATGACCAAAAAAAAGAAATAAAAGAGGCCTTTGACTTATTCGACGTGGATGGGTCTGGAACCATAGATGTGAAAGAACTGAAGGTTCTGGAATTATTTTTAGGTCATTTGAAAAACCACATTAGTGTGTGTGTGTGTCTGTGTGTGTGTGTCTGTGTGTGTGCATGTGTGTGTGTGTGCGTTTGTGTTTCTGTGCATATGTGTCTGTGTGTGTGCGTGTGCATGTGCGTGTGTGTGTGTGTTTGGTTTGAGGGGATGGAACCCAGGACTCTACCACTAGGCTTCCCATAACCTGTATCTGTGGTACTCTTTACACCTTTAACGGTAGTCTTCTGAAAGGTATGTATGTTTACCTGCCCTGAGTCAACAATACAATATCTTTTAACGTTTTAGTTGTGCCCTTGGTTGATGGGTAAGTCAAGACCCAGAATTCTCAAGGTTGTGTACTCTGTCACAGTAGGATTAGCTCTATGCTCAGATTTTGTTAGAGAACAAAAAAGCTATTAATTAGTAACTTAAAAGCTCAAAATGAGATCACGGCATATTAAAATACATTCCCTTCCTGTTGCAGATTGCAATGCGGGCTTTAGGATTTGAGCCAAAGAAAGAGGAAATTAGACAAATGATAGCGGAAATGGACAAGGAAGGGACTGGCACGATTTGTTTCGAAGATTTTTTTGCCATTATGAGTGTGAAAATGGTATAGTCATTCTACTTTTCAAAGAAATGCTCTCAGAGACTTGTGCGTGTCTGGGTTTGGAGCATAGAGATTTCGTGGAGGGGTTGGAAATGGGTATTCACGGGTGGGTGGGGTACGATAACACCACAAGAATGTATGTTTTCAGGGTGGTAAAGACTGTCGAATAGACTTCTCTCGGGAAATACTGACATAGGGCAAGATGGAAGGAGCCCAAACTTGAAGCCTTGTCCCTGGCAATCCCTGAGTGCCCACTTTTGCCACTGCCCCTGAAAACACCCCCGGATCTCGGAGCTTGCTGTCTGATGTGCTTCAATGGCAGGTGTGGGCAGGTCGGAATAATTGTGAAAGGAGATCTAGGCTGAGAACTCAGCCTCCTGGTACAGATGTGCACACACAGCTCTAGAATTACAGACCTACTAAGTCCAGCGTGATAGAACAAATAAATAAACAAATTAACCCATGACATTTCATTTCCTAAAGAATGAAAAGGATGAGAAAGAAGAGATACTGAAGGCTTTTAAATTATTTGATGATGATGCTACTGGCACCATATCACTGAATAACATCAAGAGGGTTGCCAAGGAACTAGGGGAAAACTTAACAGAAGAAGAATTGCAGGTAAATCTTGTTTATTTTGTAATTATGACGCGTGTGTAGTTTCACACGGTTTGTGTGGCTTAGTTGAACGTACACAGCCAAAACAAAAATTCCTGCTGCGTTTCCATCGTGAGGCGTTTTTAATGGTTTCAGTCTACTGTGTCACGTTTCGTTTTACAGGAAATGCTCGATGAAGCGGACCGTGATGGTGACGGAGAGATTAACGAGGAAGAGTTTTTGAGGATGATGAAGAAGACCAGTCTTTATTAGCTCTGCTTTCTGGCTTCTAGGAAGTATGCACAGCTTGCCTGTTAAGCAGTTCGGTAATGTAATACTTTATCTCATTCTTCTCTGTTTCTAGTTTATATGCTCAGGTTAGTCCCTTGGTGTCTAATCCATGCAAGAAGTTATGTGTCCCCACCAATGAATGCCATCAAGTCTATAATAGCAAGAATAATAAAAAAAAAAGCATGACTTATTTGAACCTTGACCTCCCCCCCCCCAAATAGTATTTTCACATGTTATTTTTAAAGCTCTAGGTTCTAAAGACATTTAAATTTTTTTCAGTTTAATAAACTTGGCTCCCTGGTGTGGGAAGTCCTTCTGTATATGTGTTGCTTTTGTTGATTAATGAATAAAGCTGCTTTGGCCTATAGCAGGGCAGGATAGAGTCAGGCAGGAATTCCAAGTAGATAGAGGAGGGAAAAAGGCAGAGTCAGGGAGACGCCATGTACCCACCGAAGGAGACAGAAGACCCGGGACCTTGCCGGTAAACCACGAGCCTTGTGGTTATACACAAAATAATAGGAATGGGCTAATTTAAGATGTAAGAGTTAGTTAATAAGAAGCCTAAGCTATTGACCAAGCAGTGTTGTAATTAATATAGTTTCTGGTTAGTTATTTCAGGTCTGGGCAGCTGGGAACAAGCAAGCAGCCTTTGCCTACAGCTCCCACATCCCAGTGAAATTGTTTATAACAAACCCGAAAGCAATATTTTCCATTATTTCCTTTTGTGTGACTTTAAAAAAAACTGACAAATTTGTTTTGTTAATAATTTCTTCAAATATGTAAATTATTAATAAAACTACTGACATTCAGTGTTTCTAATTTTCTTCTAGTAATTACTGCTGGGTTTGGAAGGAGACTCTCTACCCCAGTTCAAGCAGTGTGGTAATGGGTTCTTTAAGAGATGAGGCTATTAGAGTCCCTCCTTTATTAATGAGGTTAAGACAGCTTTAAAGAGTCTGCAAGCCTTATGGGATGACTCAGCAGGTCAGACATGTGCCACCATGCATGACAACCTGAATTTGGTCTTACACGGTGGAGGATGAGAACTGGCACCCAGAAGTTGTCCTCTGATCTCCACATCCATGTTACAGTGTGCGAGCTCACATAACACATAAATATAATTTAAATTTATTACTATGTGTATGGGTGTTTTACCTGCTTATATGTCTGTGTACCACTTGAGGGTCTGGTGCTGACAGAGGCCAAAAGGGGGCTTTAGATTTACAGGTTTTGAGCTGCTATGCAGGTGCTGAGAATTGAACCCCAGCCTATGCTCTTAACTGCTGAGTCATCTGTCCAATCCCTGTAAATGTAATTAAAAAAAATTAAGTATACTTAAAGGAGGGGGATTGCACACTGTACTCTGCCATGGGTGCTCACAGAGAAGTCATCACAGATTAATAGCAGTCCTTTTGTCATGGACTACCTAGCATGTGACATTTTGCTATGAACTGAACTGAAGGACAAGCGTAGTTAGGATCACTCAGAAACTATTTTGAATGCTGTTTAAGGTGAGTTCTGTAGACAGAAGTTTCTGTCCCACCAGCAGCTCCCAAATAAATACTGAGGCTTAGTTGTAAATGCTTGGCCAATAGCTCAGGCTTGTTTAGCTAACTCTCACATTTTATTTTATTTTATTTATTTATTTATTTATTTATTTATTTATTAAGGATTTCTGCCTCGTCCCCACAACCGCTTCCCATTTCCCTCCCCCTCCCCCTGATCAAGTCCCCCTCCCTCATCTGCTCGAAGAGCAATCAGGGTTCCCTGACCTGTGGGAAGCCCAAGGACTGCCCACCTCTATCCAGGTCTCGTAAGGTGAGCATTCAAACTGCCTAGGCTCCCACAAAGCCAGTACGTGCAGTAGGATCAAAAACCCACTGCAATTGACAGAGACCCACACGGGAGCACCGGACAGAAATCTCAAGGTCCAAATCAGGAGCAGAAGGAGACGGAGCACGAGCAAGGAACTCAGGACCACAAGGGGTGCACCCACACACTAACTCTCACATTTTAATTAACTCATTTCTTTTCTACCCTCTGTCATGTGACTCATGGCTTGTTACCTCATTTTCTGCACATCTGGCTTCCGCTGTGTCTGCTGGTGTCTCCTCGGACTCTGCCTTGCTTCCTCCCAGCATGCTCTGGATTGCTGGATCACCTGGGCCATTCGTTTTTATTGGTGTCTGATACCCTTGTTCTGAAAGTACATAAACTTTTAAAGGTAACATACATATCTGCACTAATAGATGTACAGACTGTGCATTGTAGATTATTAAGCCAAAGATGATTTTTTGTTATGTGTTTGAGCAGGTAAAATATACATCTTGTGCCCTGTAGTTCTTCTAGGTTTATTTCTTTATTTGGAGTCAGGATTTCATGGGGTTCTTCCTCAATAAAACCTGATCATCTTAATTTTGAATAAATCCACAATCTTTTTATTTTCTGTGGAAATAAAAGCATAATCCCTTCCCCAAAGTAACATATCTTTTGACTTAAATTTTGAAGTCAAAATATTTTTAAAATATGTCGGCTGGTTTAATCTAGTACCTTTTATTTTTTTTTAATTTTATTTTGTTAAATTTATTTATTAACATTTCCACCTCCTCCCATCCTCCCTTTTCCCTCACCCTTCCCCCCACTTCCCCTCCCCCTCGCTCTCCAGTCCTAAGAGAAGTCAGGGTGCCCTTCCTTGTGGGAAGTCCAAGGCCCCCCCTCCATCCAGGTCTAGGAAGGTGAGCATGCAAACAGACTAGGCTCCCACAAGGCCAGTCCATGCAGTAGGATCAAAACCCAGTGCCATTGTCCTTGGCTTCTCTGTCAGCCCTCATTGTCAGGCACATTCAGAGAGTCTGGTTTGATCACATGCTTGTTCAGACCTAGTCCAGCTGACCTTGGTGAGCTCCCATTAGATCAGTCCCACCGTCTCCATGGGTGGACGCACTCCTCGCGGTCCTGACTTCCTTGCTCATGTTCTCCCTCCTTCTGCTCTTCATCTGGGCTTTGGGAGCTCAGTCCAGTGCTCCAATGTGTGTCTCTGTCTCTATCTCCATCCCTCGCCAGATGAATGATCTATGGTGATATGCAAGATATTCATCACTGTGTCTATGGGAGAACCTCTGCTGCCCACTGACCTAGTTGGTGAAATCCCCTTGGACACCTGGGAACATCTCTAGAGCCAAGACTCTAACCAACCCTAAAATGGCTCCCTTTGTTAGGATAACTTCTTCCCTGCTCCTATATCCACCCTTCCTCCATCTCAATTATTCCATTCCCCCAAGCTCTCACCAATCCTCCCCTTCTCCCTTCTCTCTCCCCATCTCCTCTTCCCCCCAATCCATTCCCACCCCCCCTGCTCCCAACTTTTGCGATCTTGTCAACTTCCAATATCCAGGAGGATAACTATATGTTTTATTTTTAAAATATGTCGGCTGGTTTAATCTAGTACCTTTTATAAACCAGTGTCCCTTAGCAGTCAAAAAACATTTAAAGACAACCCAATCGCATATAGAATCCAGACTCTGTGCATTTTCATCTTTATGTGACTTATTTTTTCTATCACTTTACTCCCTTTTAAAGGACTTTACTAATATTTACTTTACTAATATTTTAAAAATATATGTTTCTTTTTTTATAACTATCTATACATTCTCTTTTCTCTCCATAGGTTTTTTCCATCTGAATCTCTTTTTATTGTATATCTGTAATCTTTTTCTGACAGAATGAGCCTTTAAACTGTTAATCTGCATGGCTAGGACCAAAGCCTCTGCTTTGGTGGCTGGCTCTGCCCCTCTTGGTTCCCTGGAAACCTAGCTTCCTCTTGGAGCAATGCCATGTTTAGTGCCCCAACTCTGGGGAGTTTTTGAGTCCATGCTGTCACTGAGCAGTGCACACCCTGGTGCTCATAAATCCCATTTAATTGTTCAGTAGCAGGGCCTCTTAAAAGAGCCATGCTGTTTTTTTGCCACCAGCATTGAGACAAAAAGCTGTCTCTTAAAGGAAGCATGTCTCTGCTTACCACTAGCAAACAGAACCTACCTAAGAAAAGTCAGTTACCAAGAAGCCATACATGACTCCATTTTTGCATGTTTAGAATCCTTATTTAAACTTTAGCAGATCTTATGTGGAAATTCCAGACCCACATTGGAATGCCATTTGTATGCAGAAGTTTCTGCCCCACCATTAGCTCCCAAATAAACACACTGAGATTTATATTAATTACAACTGCTCAGCCAATAGCTCAGGCTTGTTACTAGCTAACTCTTACACTTAAATTAACCCATATTTCTTATGTACCCTTTGTTATGTGGCTTATGGCTTGTTGCCTCATTTTCTACATATCCTGCTTTCCCTGTATTTGGTGGAGTCTCCTCTGACTTCACCCTTCTTCCTCCCAGAATTCTGAATTTGACTTTCCTGACTAACCTTATTCTGTTCAGCTATTGACCAGTCAGTTTCTTTATTAAACAGTCAGAGTAATATACATTCACAATGTACAGAAGGATTATTCCACAGAGTTCCATCTAAATTTTTTTTTTACTGGACTCAACTACCAGCCAATTTAAATCAGATCCAGTCTTGTATATAACATATTTTTTTCTCATTATAAAGCCTAGTTTAGCCTTGGACTCATGATCTCCTCCTGCCTCATTTTTGTAGGCATTGGGATTATAAATTTATGTACCATACCACATTTGATGTTTAAGAGATTAAAATGATTTTTCTTTGAGTGCCCATGGTTGAGCATTGAGCTTTATTCTACTTCCAGCCATTTTAATGAAGAATTGTAAATTGACCATATACTATGGATTAGTTCAGTATGTTCTGATCCAAAGAGAAATGTAAATGTTTTAGAAAAATAATTTGTCTGGTAACAATGTACTGAAATTGGGGGGGGGGTGACACCTCGCAGGAAAAACCTGTTATGAGAGTGTTTATCCCTCCAGGGGCGGTGGGACCTGGGGTTGTGGAGCCTAAAAATAAGGTGGACTAA